ACTTAAAGTTATCCACAACATTTAAGGGATGGGTCGGGTTGAGGAAAAAGACGAGTTGGGGTTTCAAAATTTTCTTGGGAATTAGTTTTGGGGGAAAAGAGTAGAAAAAAAGTCGGGGTTTCGGGTATCGGGTTAGTTAAAATTTGAATATCAAGCCAGAATTATTGAGGATGTTGGGGTATATCAAATATTTCGGGGGTTAATGTGTGTGTGATCAGGTATTTAAGGGGTAAATTTTCTGGTATTGGGTTCTTTTTTGGTTACGGATGGTTTGGATTACAATTTCGAAAATTCGATCATCTATTTGAGAAGTTTGTTGTTGAACAACATTTGTATTAGAGATTGATTATGTTACCCTTAAATACCTGATCACACACACATTAACCCCCGAAATATTTGATATACCCCAACATCCTCAATAATTCTGGCTTGATATTCAAATTTTAACTAACCCGATACCCGAAACCCCGACTTTTTTTCTACTCTTTTCCCCCAAAACTAATTCCCAAGAAAATTTTGAAACCCCAACTCGTCTTTTTCCTCAACCCGACCCATCCCTTAAATGTTGTGGATAACTTTAAGTTTTTGGAACTTTTTTATTGAATAAATCCTTAATTTACAAAAAATATTTGTATAAAATTATTCTGGAGGAGGAAAAATTGTATCATATTTTGACTCAAAATAGTCACAAAACAATCCCTTAATTCCTTGTTTTTGATCATTTGATAATGCATTAAACTCTGCCTTCACCTCCTTTGGAAGAAGTGTTGACCCAACTTGACAGCCGGCCCGATCATTTTGCAAAAATTTCCAAATTTAGTTTTCTTATCCGGCATCATTTGTACATATTCCCATTCTTTCATAAAATCTCTCCACAGATAACATGGCCCTCATAGCTTAGCTGGTATTGGCACACCAGGCATAAATTTATAATCAGAAGCCATTGGAATTGCTGTTCCTGAGACGCTTATTGTGTGGACCTCCCCTCTGTAAATTGTCTCCTTTGTTGTCTCATCAATTTTTTTAAAACCCTTAATTGTAAAATTGATGAGAGTTCCCTAAAAGAATGTCAGGAGAGACAATCTCCAATTATAAGGATGGTTGCTTCCCCACCAGTACAGAGACTACTGGATGAACACACGAACAGAAAACACAAGCAACCCCCAGAATATAAGCAAGCCCCCCGAGAGTACGCCTACTTAAAGGGACCCTGGGGGGTGCTTTCTTGTTCTTTTGTTGAAACTAAAAAAATAAATCGGGGGAAGGGGGATCCGAAAATATTTTTAAAAAGACCTTTAATTGTTGAATTCCAGGAAAGAAAAAAAACTTTAATTTTTTAAACTAAAATTACAGGAAAATTCGAAAATATTTTTTCGAATTTGTTTTGTTTTCAAGTAATATTTCCCCTCATAATTGTTTTTTATTTCTTATTTGTTTTTTCAGAACTTATTAACCAGTTTTTAAAAAAATATTTTTATACTTATATAATTTTTATTAAAAATCTGAAATTTTAGTCAAAAATTTTAGTTTTATTTATATATTCTGATTTTTTAATCTGATTTGTTCTGATTTTCTAAACTTTGTTCTGATCTTCAAAATAAATTCTGATTTTTTAAATTTAATTCTGTTTTTATATACTCGAAATTTTGAGTTTAAAATTCTGGTTTTCTAAAATTAATTCCGAAGATTAATTCTGATTTTTATAAAATCACAATGCTATTTAAATTTTGCTTAAAAATTCTGATTTTGAAGATTAATTCTGATTCTTCAAAAGAAAAAATTCTGAAATTAATTCTCAAGTCAGAATTCTGATTTTTAAAAATTCTGATTTTTATATTTAAATTCTGATTTAAAAAAATAATTCTGATAACTACTATATAAAATTCTGATTTTCATAATCCTATGTTTAATAAAAATTCTGATTTTTAAATAAGGTTTCTTTTTTAAATTCTGATCTCATAAACACTTAAAAAATAATTCTGAATCTTAAAATTAATTTTTAATAATTCTGATTAATTCTTTATTCATTAAAATTATGTATAAACACCGTTTTAAGAAATTAAAAATAATTACAAAATCTTTGGGGAACAATAAAAACAATTATTATTACTTTGACTTACAAAAAATTTTTTTATTGAAAATTCTAACGAAAAATGCTAAATTTAAGTAAAAAATAAAGCAATTAAAAACTTAAGGCCAGAAAAAAAATATTTTTTTAATTTAGCGAATCATTCTCGTTATTTTTTTATAATTAATAAGTCGATCCTTGATTATAAATAAACCCTATACTATATACAGTCGATTCCCAAAAACATTTATATAGGTTAGCACGTTTTTCTCCTTATCACATCGACTCAATCAGATCCCAACGATGACGTATTATCGAGATCGACTGCACATTTCTCTCTATTAAATTTTTAAAAGTTGGTTAACCACTAGGTTAGGGTCACTAATAGGCGTCTAAGCGATGCCCTCTATTTGGGATACATCCTCTATATAAAATTTGCTTCAGCCCCTCAGGATCCGACTAAAAAGTTTTTAATTAAATCAAATAAATTTCTTAAACAGACTGATTCGACATTAAATTAAAAAAATAAATTTAGAGGATTAATAAGAAAGCTTTAAAAAAAAAGATTAAAATAACTAGATAAATTCTTTAAAAATTTTTTTGAACAAAATAAAACAAATATTTTTGGACGGAAAATTATAAAAAAATAAAACTGGCTAGCGGCACAAATTAAAAAAATATATTGGAGGGGGAATTAAAAATAATTTAATTATAATTTTTAAGTGTTTAAAAATAATTATTAATTTATTGTATTAGAGAAAAGGGAATAAAAAAGAAAAGTTATGCTACGGTTACATAAAAATCGCGCGCGACACGCGACAGAAAAGATAATGTAAAAAGAGGAGAGAAAAATCGCGCGCGATTTTGTCGCTTTTTTCTAGTGGTTACATAAAAAGCGACTTCCGCCGGCGACTTGTCGCGCGCGATTTTGTCGCTTTTTCTAGTGGTTACATAAAATGCGATTTCCGCCGGCGACTTGTCGCCGGCGACACTTTTTTTGATTCAAACATGTTTGAATTTTCGGCGACACTTTTTTGCGACATGCTATTTCTCGATCAATTCTGATCCGATTTTCGAAATTTAAAAAGATTCTGAAAGTTCAGTTTATTCTCTATCGATCAATATAAATTTTATATTTTTAAAGCTAAATCTTATGGGTTAAAATTGATTTTGAAAAAGGTATACATTTTGCAAAAAATATTCTTTTTTTTGATATTTTTGAGATTTTCAGTATACTATCGAGTATTTATATCATAATTTTTTTAACAATCGGTCAAAAATTCTGAATTTTTGATATTTTGTAGAGCCTTTGATTCTCTATCAAATGATACCAGAAACATGAAAAAGTGACCATTTCTTGATGAGTAATCCCGTTCTCAAATTTCCCTGGATCCCGCCGGGATTCCGGGATTTTCACAAAAAAATTTTTAAGATATAAATATGTTGAATATTGGCGGATTTGGAGACAATATCTGGATTTCGTCTGATTAACGGAGGAATGAATAGATATCAGAGGATTAAGTGGGATATCTGTGGATTAAGAGAGATTAAGAGTATTTGAATGCTTATATGTAGACTTAGAAGGATAACGGTATATTTGGAGTGATAAAGGATGATTTGAAGAACGGTGGGTCTCTCCAAAATTCGACCGGGACGGGATCCCGCGGGATTAATCCCGTAAATCCCGGTAATCCCGTTTATCGCTAAAAACCCGGGATTCCGGGACGGCATCCCGTAAATTCCCGTACGGGGTCCCGTCCCATGCAAGCTCTAATGCAATATATACACTATGGAAAATTTTCTTTAATGTACCTCGACCCCTATCTCCATGAATTTTTTATCGGAAAAATTGAGCCTGGGCTATCTTATAGTAAATTTTATGGGCTTTCTAATGAGCCCAAAAGAAAATTTTAATATAAGCCCTGGGGGTTAAAATAATTTTTGGGGTCACTTTAGTACGTGGGTCCCGAGCTTGATATACAAATGTTATACCATTTGAAAGAGCTCGTCGAGCTGAGTCGAATGGCACCAGTTTTAGCCCGAGGAAAAATTTTTGAACCGAGATATAGGTCCCTGAAATTTGAAAAACCATAGGGGGGACCAAGCACTTTTTTGGGGTGAAAAATTTTCGAATCTTCTTGATTATTTTTGTTCCTTATTTAATTCTCTATCATTTGATTGTATTTTGATTTTATTTGATTGTGTTTTAATAAAGTTATGAGAGAAAACAAGTGTCCGGTTACTTATGCCGCACCCTGTATTGATGAAAATGTTCACAGAATTTTTTTTGTATTTTTCCTGCCATTTGTTTTTCTGAAAATCCAATTTTTGCAAAGTGTATACCACTAGGCAAGATTTCTATATACCACTGCCACTGGGCAAGATTTCTGGGCAAGATACCACTGGGCAAGATTTCTTCCTTTTTTCCTAATTCTAGGATCCTAAAATAGTCCCAAATTGTTGACATTTTTTCTAAAATAGGTATATTGAAAATATCTCATGTCTTGTGGCAAAATACGAGATACGAGACCTCTAAAAAACACGAGATTTCACTAGATACGAGAGGAGCGCCACCAGCAAGTAATTTAAAAATGATGTACTACGAATTAAAAAAACCTGATCGGTACCATGGCAGAATAAAATGATTTGATTTTATAAATTTTATTTTAGTAAATATTCAAAAAATTTTTAATCGGATTTAGTGGTTACATAAAAATCGCGCGCGACACGCGACAGTCGCTAGGCGACATGTCGCCGGCGACAGTCGCTAGTGGCGTGGTTACATAAAATCAGCGTTTGTCGCTTTGCGACAGTCGCTTTTGCGGAAGACGCCGATTTTATGTAACCGTAGCATTAAGTAACCAAAATTAAAAATTATTTTGTGGGGATTTTTTGGACGGTTTATAATTTTATGGACGGTTAATATTTATAAATGATGAGAGCATAAAAAAGAAGAAAAAAAGGATTTGAAAAATAAAAACAAATACCGTAAATATCCCAATCGGAGCGGCTGGAAGGATATTTGCGGTTTGCAGTGGAATCTCTCTATTACGACACCTCGTTCCACCTTTTGCTTACAAGAAAAGTGGGTGTGAGTAAAATCAAATAGGGTTAAAAACTTATCGGGATAGAATTTGGCTCATTCTGTGCCCATCGGAACATAATTTGGGTAACATAAGAAAACAATGTTGGGGGGGGGGGGTATCGTTATATCGAGTGTGTACAGTAATGGGAAAAGGAAAAAAATTGAAAGAAAAATTACAAAACTCAAAAAATTGAGTAAATTTAGATAGAATCTTAAAAAACACTCAGGGAAAAATATATACAGCTCGAAAAAAAATTTTTTAAACAAAATAAAGTTACCTCTCTACCTTACCAGGGATGGGACGGGTTGAGAAATAAGTCGGGTCGTGTTTCGGGTCGAAAGAAAACACAAGATTTTGGGTATCGGGTTTCCAATAACCCGTCCTAGAGCTGTCCGAGACTCTTGGTCTTGAGTCTTGACTCACAACTTTTCTTGGGTTCTTTTCGGTCTTGGTTTTGGGTCTTAAGTCTTGGTCTTGGATCTCGGACAGCTCTAACTAGTCCCATCCCTGCTAGCTACCCTCTCAGAGTTGAGTAATGCTCGTTTTCTTAAAGTTGATAAAATTGCTAAATTTCAATAGGGAAAGGATGTGCTTCAGTATTAAAGACCCATTTATCTAACGATATTTTATTTGAATCGCTAAATGTTAAAAATAAATATTTGAGTGTTTCAGCCAAGAAAAATGATTGTTGGACATCATCTTGGTCGACCTTTAAAAAAATTTGTATTTTAAAATAAATAAAAATTATTTTTGTTTGATCTTGCTTATAACACTTGGAGGTATTGCTTAAAAAGGCAGCTCCCAGCTCCCCCAATCTAATAATTAACCAGTTTAAGAAAATGAGAGTTAGTAGAGGGATTAACGGTAGTAGCAGGGATCGCACCGACATAAAAACAAAATTCCCTATTAAGGGAATCAGGAATTCGCGACCCAAAAAACGTCGCGAATTCCCAATTTTTGGGAATTGGGATTAGGGTAGCACCCCGAGGCTTCGGGGGTGGACGACGGGGATAGGGGTTTGTCGGGGTAGAGCCTTCGAGGTTCGGGTCGGGGTTTTTGCCTAAAAATTCATCGGTGGCGGGATGCTACCCTAGAATAAACTGTTAGTCTAACCCTTGACAGTTCATCCATAAACCAAATAAAAAATCCGCGAACCCAAAAATCAACCACAAAAAAAATAAATTATTTTACCGGTAAAGAATAAACATTCCTAATGCCCGTATATCCAGCTGTTGCTCTACAATGCCTTTCTAATGCTTCAACAACTTCCCAACACCAATCTCTATATTGTTGTTTACCCGTTACTCTCCACAAATAAAACCATCCTTCCACAGCTTCTGGACGAAGAATGTAATAAGATTCATGGACACGGACAGCTTTAGCTTCAATATCTGATGCAAAACGGAAAGATTCTGGGCCAAGTTTTGTGACTTGAAAAAAGAAAAAATGAGGAGAAATTTTGAGATAAGAGGTGGAATCTGAAGGAAATTAGAAGAACCCAAAATTTGAAAAAAATTATTTCTCAAGTCCTAATTAAGGCTGTAGGTAGGAAAAATTTCAAAGAAAGGCAGGAAACATGCCGACACAAAAAATAAATTCATGATTTTTGGGACAATAATTCCAGAATATTTTTCCATTCATGATTATGAGAATTGGGATTTCCAGACCCAAAAATAACAAATTTCTGATTTTCGGGAAGAAGAACGAAAGGTAATTTTGAACGTGACAGACCCCCTTTTTTCCTCCCCAATTTTCAGCCTATATTTTTTAAAAATGGTCAGACTTTTTCCTTTCTTCCATCCAATTTGCCTTTTTAATTTTTGCCTGCAAACAAACAAAAAGGATTATAAAAAGGAGGAGTACTTGATTGCTGGCAAATATAGAAAGGCAATTGGGATAGGAGAAGGGAAAAAGTCTGACCATTCTGTAAAAATATAGGGGGAAAACTTGGGAGGAAAAAAGGGGGTCTGTCACGTTCAATATTACCGAACGAAATGCCCCCTAACAGCCCAAAGACGGTTAATAACGCGATTTCTTTTTATTGATTTATTTCTCATCTTGGGGCGGCATGGTTTTACAAGTTTTGAATTCTGGAAAATATCTATCTTGGAAAATTTTTCTAAATAAAAACTACTCATCATATTCATAAACAGAATGAAGATCCGAAAAAGGCAGGATATACGGAAAATTTCGGTTCGGATATCGGATCCGAATATCCGGGGATTTTCAACTATTCCACAACCTTAATGAAGAACTCAACTTTAAAAAAGGAAACGGAAGAAAAATTTTTTAAAATATAAACTTGTTCTATTGTACGATTCATGACAAGTTTCTCCAATTTTTTCAGCCAATTCTAAATAATGTGCTCGTTGATTAATATCAGTTTCGTGTAATGATTGGAGTGCAAACATTCCAGCAGTAAAACAAGCCTTAAAAATTAAATTGAAATTTATCTCTTAATAAACGCTAATTGCCTCATAGACAAATAAAGTAAACTATAAAAATATTTTCATTATCCCACAACCTTAATGAAGACAGAAATATTTTCATTAGGACACACCTTATACTAAAGAGAAAAGTAAAGTTTATCCCCGGGCAGGAATTGACCTTGAAACCTTATTCTGGCTGTTTTTCACACACCAAGTATATGTGTTCAACCGACTGTTTTCACCTTCTCTTTTAAAATAATTGTTAATCCCCACGCCTAATAAATGCTTTAAATGAGAACTAGTTGAAACCAGGGATGTCACGGGTTACCCGATACCCGGCCTTTTTTTCGACCCGATACCCGACCCGAGTTTTTTCAAAATTTTCGCCCGCGTCGCAGAAACAGGGAAGATTTTTAGCTTAATGATCCTCCAAAATTCTGAAAATTTTCGCCTGCGGCGCTGAAAAAGGGACTTTTTTCGACCCGAAACCCGATCCGAGAAAAATTTTGGAAACCCGATCCGAAACCCGACCCGACATTTTTCTCAACCCGTGACATCCCTGGTTGAAACCCTGTAGAAAATGAAGAACTTCACCCTTCAACTAATAATAAAATCGAAGCGTATTGGTTCGAGTTCCAGTTTTCCTGTAAAAGCACAGGTTCCAAATCCAGACAAAATTTCAGTTCCGAGGTGGCCTTAACTTATGGTTCTAACTAGGGTTGCCGCTTTCGAACCGGGCCGACGTTCGAGTCATTTTTTCGGGCCTCATTCTTATCGAACCGGGCACCGAGTCTTTTTCGGGCCAAAATTCGATGCCCGCTTCGATCTATCGAACCGAACGGGCCGGCAACCCCATTCTTAACAGAAAACTATCCCTCTAACATCACCCAAAAGTATATTTCCCCCCTCACTTAAATTTAAAAACTAAAGAAAACCTTCAACCAATTTTTCTCACCAAATGATCCATTTTATGTTCAATTCTCGTTCCTTTCATTTCAGCAAAATACCAAAGATTACTAGGCTTTGATTTAAATAAAAGTTTATTTTCTATTGCCAAAATTGCATTTTTATAAGTTTCCCACAATTTTTTGTCACGTTTTTCGTCAAATAGCCTTTAGAAAATTTCAAAAAAAAATTTTTCAAAATTTTTAAAAAATACCAGACTTTAAGTAAATACTCATAAAAAGAGTCGCCTAATGCTCCAACAGAAATGTGTTCTGAAAAAAATTTTTTTTTTAATTTAATAATTGAAGAACAAAATATTACTTTGACACCATTTACCAGTATTTGGATTTAAGTAATTCTGAAAAAAAAATTTTTTTAACAAAAATTTAACGGGAGAAAAATAGAGAAAAACACAGAAAAACGTAAAATTAAAATCAAAAAAAATTTGTGTGTGTTTATCAGTTTCAACAATAAGGGAAAAAATTGGAAAATAAAAACAGCACAAAGATTAGGGACGTTGCTACGCAGGTTGCTCCCAAATTCGTAATTCGACCTAGCTATGATTATGAGTAATCGAAATATTGAAGCAAGATTTTTGGTAGGTCTTTGTCTGAAGTATTATGGCAAAAGCATAATTGGGGAGCAGGCCAACGTACTGAGACGCCTTGGTATGGTTCAATGCATCTCGATGAGCTGAATCGAATCATAACAGGGCGTCACGGATTCTGCCGTTTTGAACGAAGTTATAGCCCTGCGGTACGTTGGCCTCGCGGTATGTTGGGGTGTACCCGCATGAATCATAAATCCCGTCCCATCTTTTGCTAGTTTATTCAGCCGCCTTATTTTTTATCTATTATAGGATTTCCCATTCCCATAAAAATATGAAAAATAAATCTTTCACAAAAGGAAAGCCAAAAGCACCCCCAAAAATCATAAATTAATTTAAAAATATACCGGATAAAGACCATCAGGTTTTTCCAATTTATTAACATATTCTCTCAATTTTCTACATTTTAACAAATAAGTATCATTTCCAGTAATTTTAGACAAAAAAGCAAATTCCAATTCAATTGAACCAAATTCAGATAAAATAGAACAACCTCCACTTGCCCAATTATAATTTGTTGCTTTCCCCGTTTGGACATTAATTAAAGCTAAAGGAATGCCTGTAGACGATGCATCAAATGCTGGAAGGAGTAAATCAGCTATTTGAATTGCTTTCGTTAGAAATAACTAAAAAATTAGGGTTTTTAAAGAGAAAAAATTTTTAAAAAAATTTTAGGTTTTTTAAAGTATTTTGAAGGGTTTTTAACATAATTTGGAAAGCCCTACAAAATAAAATAAAAGTGGCAGAATCCGTTAAAGAAAAACAGCAAGAGATTGAATGGGGTTTTGATGAGAACTGTTCGAAGCGAGGTTGTTAATACCCCGTTTAAACACGTCTCCATGAGAATAAGGGATGTCCTGGGAAGGCAAGGTTGTTAAGCAAGGTTGTTAACCCGTTTAAATACGTTTCACTGAATCAGGATCCTGGGCAGACAGGTAGGGTTTCAGATCGAGTCGAAAATTTATTAGACAGAATAAGCCGTGATTCTATCCTGGTTGATTCCATTAATACTCTCCAAAATAAGGTTTCATACTAATTATTCCTACCGATTGTTTCAATTTTGCATTAACTAACCTCGACGGCCTTACATTAATAACTTGATACCCTCATAATACAGATCAAATCCTATTTAATCAAATTAACTAATAAATAAAGGCTCTAAAATAGGGTTGGATTCTGATGAACCTTCTGCGTCGAAAAGTTAGGGGTTTGGAGTTTGAGGTTCAACGGGGTCAGGGTCAAATCGTACTCTAAAGGGTTTCTAATCCAAAAACGTCGAAAAAATGACCTTAAAAGCCAAATTATTGCCTATAAATATTTCAAAAAAAATTAAAAACCTTTTCTTTTGTAAGTGCATAAGCAGATAGCAACCCTCCCACATATCTAATATTTGTCTCAAAAACAGACAAATCACTCGAGGCAGTCAAAATATCAAAACTAGAGTCTATCCATTGTTTGGCTTTTTCAAATTCTTCTTTAAGGCCCATAATGTAAAGACTAAAAAATTTTTTGAATTTTTAAATAATTTAAAAAAACGTGTCAGCAGCGTCCACAATAGTTGCGCCTAAATGGGCACTTCCAAAAATTGATCCGCTATGGCCTGATTTGGTAATTGGGTTTAATTCGTTTTGACCCCAAGCATGAGCAACATATCCATCCCAAGCGAATTTCATCATCTACAAAATTTTTTTTAAATTCAAGAGATGAGCCAGGAAAACTCACAACATGTATGAAATAAATTCCTATTGAATATCAAGATCCGAGGAAAAAATTGTGAATAATGGGTAAGGAAATAAATTTTAAAAAAGAGAGGCTGAATGAAAATAGAGTTAAAGAAAGGGGAAATCGAACAATGACAAAAAGGCATTAGAGATCGAGCTGGGCCCGGACCAAGGCCTGGGTTTTTCCTGTACCTAGAGTCCAGGCCTATGCATTTGTTGACCTTCCTGGGTTTTTACTGGGCCTGAGTTTTTCCTGGACTACAGGCCCAAGATCCGGCCAAGGTCAACAAAACAAACTCAGGAACAGGCTTCAAAAATCTCGATCTCTAGCAGGCATAGCATAATTTAGAAGTCTCCCAAAATTTAAAATGAAAAAAATCTATAGGAAAAGAAAGATAGACAATTTGAATAAAAAATCTGGGTTAAACTCTTGATTGTGTGATGTTCCTAGACGCTAAATTAAATAAAATCTGGAAGACCTATGTTTAAAAGATTCGGCTGTATATGAAAGGAATGCGGCACTCAATTTTTTTCCTCATTATTAAAAATGATTAATTTATATTTTTCTCTCTATTTTTGATTTGTGCCTTAAGACTAGAGACGGCGTGTCTGTCCGAGTTCGTCTGTGTTCGTCCGTTTCAGTCAAAGGACGCACACACATCGGTCAGAAAACACGGACGAACTCGGACAGACAAAACACGGACGAACTCGGACAGACAAAACACGGACGAACTCGGTCAGAAAACACGGACGAATTCGGACAGACAAAATACGGACAGAAAAAAGGTACGAAGATAGTCTTAAGGCACAAATCAAAAATAGAGAAAAATATGCATAAGAAAATTAACCATTTTTAAGAATAAGGAAAAAATTGAGTGCCGCATTCCTTTCATATACAGCCAAAGATTCTCTAGAAAAAGACAAATTTCTAGGAAAAATAAATTTAGAAAAAAGAGGCGCCCTATTTTCATTTATAAATCAATCAAAATGACGGGACGCTCTTCCCTAAATTTGACAAAATTCCCACTAAGACCGCCAAAATAAATTTAAAAAAAAATTAAAAAAACCTCTTTAACATAATTCCTTCTATAATCATTATTTTTTCGTTGAGCAGAATTATCAGACAAATTGTGTCTATAAACAACCTCTTTCCTAATTAAAATTTCTTCATTTTCTCTTCTATTCCCTACCTCCCGTATTTTTTGTTGTTGAAGAGCTGACGACAAATCTGACGAAGAAAAATAAAAAAGAGTTGCCGAAAGTATAAAAAGGCCTAGGGAAACGCTGCCGATTAAAAGTAAGTATTTTTCGTGAAATCGAAGGCCCATTTTTTGGTGAGGAAATTTTATTTTATTGCTCCCATTTGCTGTAAAAATTTGAATTCTTCAAAAAATTTAAAAAACGTGGCAAAAAGTTGGAAAAAAAATACGGCCATAAAGTCGTTTCTAAAAGGGACAGCCCAAAACGGCGCGCGGCCTTAACGGCGCAAAGCCATAACTTGCTGGAAAATGTCTGGCCCTTATCAATTTTGGTTCCATTCTCTTTAGCTCGATGAGAGGAATCGTTTGATACTAAATTTGGTAAGATTCGACAATCTTGAAGCAAGTTATGGCTTTGCGCCGTTATTGGGGGGGGGGGCGTTTCTTGGAAAAAAATACGGCCATAAAGCTTTTTCTAAAAATTGAGTCAAAGAAAATTTAAAAATAAAACTGAGTTGGCGTTAAAAATTTTATTTTGGCGTAATATATTTTTATTTTTCATTGAAAGATAGAGAAAGAAATTTTGAGAGACTATATACAATTTTAAGAGAGTATGTGACGTTCTGTCTTTTTTTACCCGTTGTACCATTTTGTCGTACTCCATTTTTGTCTTTTTTACACGTAGTACCTTTTTGTTTCTATACTTTGATAGAGAAAGAAATGTGAGAGACTATAGAATTTCATGAGATTATTTGATACCATTTGTCTTTTTTTATTCATTGTACCATTTTGTCGCTTCCATTTTTGTCTTTTTTTTACCATAGATCCTTTTTGTCTGAACATTATTTCTTCAATTTTTGGAAGATAAAATCGTCGAGATTTTGTCTGATTTTTTAAAATTTTCTTTCTACATTTTTTCTTTATTCAATTTTTATTTTTTAGTTAGTTCTTCTAAATACCCTTATTGTTTCAAAATGGGTGGAAAAGTTTCAACAAACGTTGACTCCTTCAGGGATCCTTTGACTACTCCACAAGTTGATCGACCTTGCACTTTTGATCCTTTGTATGGATTTCCAAAGGTTTTGGGCTAATTTTTTATTTTCTAATTTTCTATAAATTTAAGGGAAGGAAGCCTAAAGAGATGAAAATGACGTGGGAAGAAATGTTTGTTTTTAATTGATTTTTGGTTGTTTTAGTCTAAGGCTCTGGAGTTGACTTTTTGGGTTTTTTCAGTTTATGTATTTTATTAAGAACAAATTGGCTGTAGATTCCAACCAGGGTTGATCGAAAAAAATTCTTTTGTTTCGAATAGAATGAAAAAAGGAAGCGAAACAAAACGAAATTTCGATCAGCCCTGTTCCAACCCAAAAAACTTTAACTAGTCCGATTTTTGAAAATCAGAAAGATAATCCACGGAACGCGTAACTTTTATAGAGACGCATAGAGATCGAGTTGGGTCTGGGCCAAGGCCTGCGTTTTTTTCCTGTACCCAGAGTCCAGGCCTAGACATTTTTTGACTTTCTGGGTTTTCCTGGGCCTGAGTTTTTCCTGAACTACAGGCCCAGGATACGGCCTATGTCAATAAATCAAGCAGGAACAGGCCCAGACTTTTCAAAAATCCTCAATCTCTAGAGACGCATAGACTGGCAAGAGCCTTTATGAACATTTATTTTAAAGTTACGACTGTATATGTTTATTCTGCTTATCTCAGCCTTAGCGCATCAAAAACCTTATCATTAAAAAAAATTTTTTTTCAACAGGGAAAAGTATAAACTTCCAGTTGGGCTTCGTGATTATTGCGCTCATCTCGCCGTTCCTTTTATCGATTGTCAACGGAAACATAGACTGTTTGCAACTCATTGTTGTGCTGGACTCCGCCATGATTGGGTTCACTGTCAATTTAAGGTTTGCTTTTTTTATTAAGAAGAAAAGGGCCAAATTGTTAGTTGAGCAAGTGTAATTCTTTCTCTCTAGGGTTAGGAGCGGTTTTCTAAAGGACACCTTTTTGGCTTGTGGATTAAGGTTGGAGAATTCTGATCCGAAGAAGGCCGGATATCCGGAACTCGGTTAGGATATCGGATTCTGAAGATTTCCAGCTGTCCGCCAATCTTGTTGTGTGAAATCCGCAAGTCAAAAGGACACGCAATTTCACTGCGACCAGCCCTGATCACGAGCGGTTTCCTTTTAAATATTGACTAAAGGCACTTTTTTGGCTTGTGGATTTGCTTTACATTTTAAGCTTTTTTCTGATTTTTAACTTTTTATGGGTAACAGTTTCCCCAATGTATAGAGGGATAGGAAATTAATGTCCTACTTGAAAATAGTTATAAGCGATTTTAAAGATTTTGAGGTCGATTCCTTGATTAATATGAAAGATCTTGACCAGATTTTTGACTTAAGTCAAGAGAGGTTTTGAGTCCATCGGGTTGGTTTGGTTTATCGCGAAGGTTAAGATTTGGGTCTAGAACTATCCCTATAAGAAATCCGCAAAATTTTGCGGACATTTTTTTCTTCTCTTAAGAAATCCGCAAAAAAATGTCCGCAAAAAATTAAAGAATATTTTTTCTTAACAAAATTTTCTATTAAATTTATAGGAAGAAATTGATCGTCGAAAAGAATATGAACGTGAAAAGCGTCTTCTTCAACGAAAGGCTCGTAAAGAAAAACTTGCACGTGAACAGGCTCAAGCGTGATTTTTACTTTGATTTTTGTGCTGGTTTATAGGTCTTAAATTTTATGTAACATTTTTTTGTGATTTTTGTTAGGAATTTTTAATCAATTCAAAATTGATAGAAAATGCCTTTTTTGATTTTTTAAATCACAAAAATTTTTGCGGACATCCGCAACTTTTTGCGGATTGTTATAAAATTGAGGAACAATTAAGAATTTTTGAAGTGTATTTAAATATTTGAGGAATTTATAAGGCTTAGGTCCACACATTTGGTTTTGAAGGTTGGGTGGATGAACTAAAAAAAGATCCCGATCCAAAAAAAATTTTTTGAGGAGTATACCAATCCAACCATGTATAAATTTATATTCATCGGCCATCGAACTTGCAGTTCTTGAGACGCTTATTGTGTGGACCTCCCCTCTGTAAATTGTCTCTTTTGTTGTCTCATCAATTTTCCATTAACTCCTCAAAAAATTTTTTTGGATCGGAATCCTTTTTTTTCGTTCATCCACCCAACCTTCAAAACCAAATGTGTGGACCTAAGCCTTATAAATTCTTCAAATATTCAAATCTACTTCAAAAATGCTTAATTGTTCCTTAATTTTATATCAAGCCGCAAAAAGTTGCGGACGTCCGCAAAAATTTTTGGAATTTAAAAATTAAAAAGGCTTTTTCTATCAATTTTGAATTGATTAAAAATTCCAAAAAACTGGAATAAAGTAGTATATCTGAAATGAGATTCAGTTGTGGAAAGGTTTTTGTTGGTTTATAGCTGTTTAAATTTTGTATAAAAATTTTTTTCGATTTTTTTGTGAATTTTTAATCAATTTAAAATTGAAAGAAAATATCTTTAATTTTTTAAATCCCAAAGAAATTTTGCGGACAGTCCGCAAAATTTACTTTTTCCATATTATGTCCGCTATTTGAGTATTTATCCTCATTTCTAATGTTTCAAATTTTTTTTCGTCTTATTCAACTTGTTGCCAGTTCAAATCAGGGTGATTGAGGGGCAGGGGGAGGCCTATTTTTGAACTTTTTGCCCTATTTTTAATATTTCAATCTTAATTTTTTTTAGTTTTTTTATTAAAATCTGGATATTTATGTTTCGTGTAACACGTTTGGGATTAGCAAAGACTTGTGGACAAGGACGTGTTCCTGTATCTTCTCTTTCAAATAATAAAAATGCTGGTTTTGGTTTGAAGGTTTCTTTTAAATTTTTTTCGTAGGACTGACTTGGATGAGACAGTTGATCCCTAGCATAAAAATCGAATGGGTTAAACAAAATTAGAAAAAATTCCGTTATGTCTCCCATGATCGTATTCAGAAAAACTTCGAGTTGGCTCGGCGAGCTTATTCGAACAACACCAAAAGTATCTTCAGGACTCAACTATGGGCGGAGATATATAGTAGGTCCCCAAAAAAGAAAAACCATAGGAGGGACCAGACTGATTTTTGGGGGTGAAAAATTCGAATATACAAATAAAATACTTTACTAGTTTCCGTTGACCTTGAAAAAGAGTCCAAATTTAGGGTCCAACTTTAAAGACTTCACATGCTTTGTTCAATTTACAAAAATTAAGGTATTTGAGAAACAGAACTTTACACAACTTAATGGACCCAATTTTCCTTGTCGCCAATTCTCTAGCTACAGATTAGAGAAGACCTCATTGCCTACTGGAGATGAGAAGGGAAAGAAGGTTCTTTTTGTAAACTTTTATTTATTTTATTTTTGTTTTTAGAAGCTTTTGAATTTTCTTCCACTTGCAATATTGATTGTTTTGTGGACATTAATAATTTTTGATGATCCAGATGAAGGGCAGGCTAAAGGGAAAGCAAATAATGGACGGCACCGTTGAAAATCAATCTAAAAAATCAGCATTTATAAAGGACGGAATTTGAGGCAGAACAGAATAAAAGAAAACCCCTGTTCATATTTATACAAAAAACCTTGGGAACTTATTTACTTTAACTACTTTTCCCAAAATTTTGCCGTATGTATTTTGTACATGGACAATTTATATATCATTCGAAAGAGCTCGACGAGCTGAATCGAATGACATCAAAATCATGATTGAGCTGAGACAACTGAGCTCAAAATGGTCAAAGCAAACCTTGAGAAAAACCGCGCGTTTCGCGAGTGGTTTATCAGCACACGTCACGCGGGGAGTCAATAGGTCACCGAGTTCTACACCAGTAACAAATCTATACCTTTTTTGCCGATTTTCAGCCTTGAACTGCGTACCTCTACCCCCTAACCGCACAAAAGCAGTTATTCCAGCAAAAATTCAGTTGCTCGTAATTTTGTTCAAAATCGTCAGATAAAGCTGATTTTGTTACCTTTCGATTCAGCTCGTCGAGCTCTTTCAAATGACATATATATTGTTCAAATCTAAATGGAAAATCCCTCAGTAAAATTTTGGGGTGGGTAGTTAAAGTAAATAAGTTCCAAACCAGTGATGGGCGAAAATTTTCGTTTCGTTTTCGTTTCGTACTTTGATGATTTTATTTTTTTCGTTTTCGTTGAGGGCAAAATTCTATTTTCGCCCATCTCTGTTCCAAACTTTGTTTTATTCCTCAAATTGACATTAAGTGGGTTCAAAATCTATGGATATATTAAAAAAAAGATAAATTTTGATCTTCATTTTTTTCATTTTTCTCAAAAAATGTTTGTAAAACATTTTTATTTTAAAATTATAAAATTCTATCTCAAGTCCAAAAGTCCGCAAGTTTTATCCGCAAATCAATATATTTGCGGATAAAACTAATTTTTGACATTTAATACTTCAACCTTAATTTTCTTTTAGTTTTTTATTGAAAGCTTGAAATGTTTCGTATGACACGTTTGGGATTAGCAAAGACCGGTGGACAAGGACGTCTTGTATCTTCTCTTTCAACTGATAAAAATGCTGGTTTTGGATTGAAGGTTTTTTTATTTTTTTTCGTAGGACTAAATGGTGGGAATATTGATCCCTTGGTTAAAAATACGATTGGCTAAAATAAGGGGAATTCCGAAATATCCTCCATTATCAGATTTAGAAAAACTTAGAGATTTCTCGAACGATGCCAAAATTAGATTCGGGACTCAGGCCGAGATAGAGTTCCTAAAAACCGAAAAACAAAGGGGAGGAAGCTGATTTTTGGAGTTAAAATTCGAGTATACAAATACCTCACTCGGAATTCATGTTCCCGTTGACTTTGAAGAGGGGTCAAATTTTACCCCCTTTAAAGACTAAGTGCTTTAGACGTCCAGTTTACAATATTTAAGTATTTGAGAAAACGAACTCTACACAACTTAATGGACCCAATTTTCCTTGTCGCCAATTCTTTAGTTACCGATACTTATCATTGGCCACAGAAGATGTAAAGGGAAAGGTTTCTTGTGTAAACTTTTTAGTTTATTTTTAGTTTTTAGAAGTTTTCCCATTTTGCACGACAAAAAGTCATGGATGGGACTAAGAAAATTAAAGAACTATATAAGCGAACTCTTTTTCCATTCAATTTCTTTCAATTTTTGGTTGTTCTACTCTTGATTTATTGGATTATAACATTTATCATTGAAAATAAAAGACGTAGGTTATTGGAAAGATTTTGCAAAATTTTTTGCGGACAAATTTTTCAACACTCAAAAAATGTCCGCAAAAGATGTCTGCAATAATTTAACATTTTCAAATATTTTTTCTTAACAAATTTTCTATTAAATTTTTAGGAAGAAATTGATGGTCGAAAAGAATATGAACGTGAACAGGCTCAAGCGTGATTTTTAGTTGGATTTTTTTGGTTTATGAGTATTTAAATTTTGTATAAATTTTTTTGTGATTTTTTTAAATTTTTAATCAATTTAAAATTGATAGAATATACCTTTTTAATTTTTTAAATCCCTGAAAATTTTTGAGGACGGTCCGCAACTTTACTTTCCATTATATTCCATATTGTATCCGCTATTTGAATATTTTGTATTTTTATCATTTCACGTTGTAATCTATTTTTCCTCATTTCTTAATGTATTTAAATAATTCCCTTAGTCTAACTTTCAAATAATTTCCATCTTATTCAAATTATTGCCCATCAACCCTATATTTCCTTCAACTTTATTGTATTAAGCAAATACATTTTCCTTATATTTTTATCATCTTTCCGCCCTTCCTAACACTATATATACTTGTTCTATTTACATTATTCCCAGTGCTCTTCGGAGCCACCATAATTAGGTCATTTTTAATAAATATAAAATATGTCTACCACAGACATAATACGGACAGTCCGCAACTTTACATTGCGAATTTTCTCTTAATCTCTCCCGGGCTTCAGTACTCGATCAAAAAATTATCGGCATTTAAAGTCTCTATTAAAGTCTTTTTTATATCCATTAAATTTAAGACTCGCACAAATTGCTATTTTCCATTTTCCTAAAGTCCGCAAATTTAATCCGCAAATCATACGATAATATTATCAAGTCATATTTGTGGATAGAACTAATTTTTAAGATTTAATATTTCGATTTTTTAGTTTTTTATTGAAAGCTGATATTTATGTTTCGTGTGACACGTTTGGGATTAGCAAAGACTTGTGGGCAAGGACGTCTTCTTGTATCTTCTCTTTCAAATGATAAGAATGCTGGTTTTGGTTTGAAGGTTTTTCTTAAAAAATTTTTTCGTAGGACTGACTGGATAATAATTTGGGATTGACCCCGTGTACAAAAATAAGATTGGGGAAATTTCGGCATATCTCCCATAATTAGATGTAGGCAATGTCATCCAGCATTGTCTGCTGATTTTTCTGGGTGAAAATCGAGTATACAAATACCTCACTCGGAATTCGTGTTTTCGTTGACCTTGAAGAAGGCTCCAATTTTTACTCTCTTTAAAGACTACATGCTTAACATTCCAATTTACAATATTTAAGGTATTTGAGAAACAGAACTCTAAACAATTTATTGGATCTAATTTTCCTAGTCGCCATTTCTCTAGCTACAGATACTTCTCTGCGGCCACTGAAGATGAAAAGGGAAAGGTTTATTTTGTAAACTTTTTATTTCATTTTCGTTTTTAGAAGTTTTCAAGTTTTGCACAAAAAGCCATGGACAAGATAAAGAAAATTAAAAAAGAAGTTTCAGACGATCCTTTTGAATTTTTTATGCCTTTTCTTATTGTCTCTGTACTTATATTTTCTCTTAAACGTAAAAATGGTTAATTTTAAGATTTTTAACCAAGATACTAATTTTTTAAAATAAACCTTAAATACTTATTAATTAGAATTTTTACACGTAAATATACTTTAATTTGAGAATTAATCTTTTAAAAATATCGTTACTTGTGTTTTTTTCCATCGTGTTTTTGCGGACAATTGTACTTCTTAATCTCAAAGAATACATGCCCCCCTTAATGGGATCACCCCAGAGTATCGACACCCAAAGTATCGAATGACCCAAAGTATCGACACCCAAAGTATCGAATGACCCAAAGTATCGACACCCAAAGTATCGAATGACCCAAAGTATCGACACCCAAAGTATCGAATGACCCAAAGTATCGACACCCAAAGTATCGAATGACCCAAAGTATCGACACCCAAAGTATCGACACCCAAAGTATCGAATTTTTTAAATTTCATAATTAAGTATTCCAATGATCGGGCATGATGTTCTAACATCGGGGAATTGTGTTTTCGATCGAACTGAGCATAGCGACCGAACAAGATTCTACTTGGAGATCGATCACTCTTCTTTGATTGGACATATTGATCATGATCGATGTTTGATCCATTGTTGGAACAATTTCCCTATGTTAAAAAGACTTCCCCGTCCTTGGAATACTTAATTATGAAATTTAAAAAATTCGATACTTTGGGTGTCGATACTCTAAGGTGGACTCCCCTTAATACTCTCAATCCTTTTTAATCCCCCACTATTTTTTACCACTAAATCGGAAATGTCAGAGGATTTGAGGGCAAATATTTGAATTTGATCAAATGTTTAACAAAGTACAGCCTCGAGAACATTTTTCTTGGTCAAGTTTACTGATCTACAAATTAGTTTTTTTTTATTTTTTTCGTTTCGTTAGGCCGAAATTTTCGTGTAGTTATGATCCGTAAGGAAAAACTTGCGGACTTTTCATATTGCAGATAAAAATATTTGCGGACAAAATTTGCGGACATTTATGCAAATTATGTAAACTAACCTAAACTTTTTTTTTAGAAAAATTTAAAAGAAATGCAAAACACTTCTAATATTACTACAAAATCTTCATCAACCCCTTCTATTCATTTCAAATCAGTTGGAGACTCAAATTATTTTTCTTGGTTAGAACCTCGCCTACTAAAAACAATTATTGATTTGTGTACAAGCCGAACACCTTTCGACTCCTTAAACGAATATTTGCCTCAATTGGATGTTTTGTTAATTAGAAATACAATTTTGGAGCAAAGAAGGTTGGCAGCTTCTCTGTGGAGTGTTTACAGTGAATTAATTGGGGCTGCCCCAAAAGGTTTGTTGAAAGAAATATTTTTTTTGAATTTTTTGGTTGAAATTAGATAGAAATTTAAATTGAAAATTAAATTGAAATTAGATTTCTTGGGATAGGTTAGTGATCATCAGTGATGTGTTTTATAAATTTAAAAATTGGTGGAAGGAGGTACAATCGAGTAAACTCATCCTTGTAGCCACCCCCTTCAAAACCTTATACGTCCAATTTTTTGTTAAATGGAATTCCTGCCTTATCAAGGCAACATTCACTAAAGTACCCACCGAATGGTAAAGCTTTTTCGATTTCCGGTTTTTTCTTTCAAGTTCCGATTTAGTTGATTTTTTATTTCAAAACATTTCTCTTAAGTTTGCCAACCTCCTCCTCACCAAATAACATTCACAGAGTCTCTTACTTACAATTAGTTTGATTTTTAACATAAGAACTCAAGTCAAATTCGGTGGCTAAGCCACAGAAATTTTGCATAAATTTTCCTAAAATTTTAAATTTTCACCTAAAACTTTGCCTAGCCTTCCTTCAATAAAAGTTTTTTTAATTTTACAGACACAAAAATAGATTTGGACAATTTTATGTCAGCCCTGTCTGCTTCACTTGTTGGAGAATTTGAACTCGTATTAATTCAAAATTCGCTGGATTCTGTTGTTGAATTGGCTAAATCTGTTGGGTTTTCTTTTGCTTTAATCTCTCCTTCTTTAAATTTATTAATTTTGAATAATCAAAATATTCCAAAAATTTTGTGTTGGAAAACTTTGAGGAAATTAAATGAAGTTTTGCCTGATGGGGCTAGTTTGTTGAATGAACATTTTGAAGTTTTTGTGGATAAATTTTTTGAATATTTTGAAGAAAATGGAGCAGAAAAGGTTTTTTTAATATTTTTTGATTTTTTGAGAATTTTTGGGGCTTACAAGGGAACATTTTGAACTGTCAGTAAAAATTTTTTCATAAAAGTTATACCTTCGTGTAGAGCATAGTCTCCAGAAGTCGACAACTTTGAAGCCTTATAACTTTTCGAATTGGGGGTCGGAGCCAAAAAAAGACTAGCTTTTCGACTATACTCTACACGATGGTATAACTTTTATCAAAAAAATTTTTACTGACAGTTCAAAATGTTCCCTTGTAAGACTTTCCTTGTTCTTTTTTGAAGGGGAAAAATTTTGTGAAGCTTTATTTCTTTTTTTTCGTTGCTCATTTTTCCTGTAATCCTCCAAAAAGTATAATTTGCCATAAAAGATAAAGGGATTCACAAAAAGAGTTATTTTAATTTCGTTAATTTTAATGTCATTCAACTCATCTCGAAGAGCTCTTGGTAATTCTTCGGTTTGTATACCCTGCTCTTTGTCCCCCCTTTTTTTCCTTACCATTTTTACATTTTTCCTCTTTCTCCCTTATTTTTCATGAGGCATTAAAAAGGATTATGAGTAGGGAGTGGCAAAACATGCAAATGCATATTTTGTATGCGGATATGCCATGAGCTGAAACGCTCAAAAATGGTGTTTTTACGTCGGTAGGAACATTAGGGACGGGTTCCTATCCAGAAAATTGAAAAATCAAAGGGGCGAAAAACCATAAGGACGAAAATTTATATAAAATTCGAAAGAGCTCATCGAGCTGTGTCCTATGATTTTTCAATTTTCAGGGGTGATTTTTTGAAAATGAATTTTTCCTGACTTTTCTCATACATAAATATTGCTCATAATCCTTTTTAATACTTGCCTCGTGAAAAATAAGGGAGAAAGGAAAGGAAAAATGAAAAAATGGTAAGGAAAAAAGGGGGGCACAAAGAGCAGGTATACGAACCGGTTCCGTGACTTTTGCGCCGCGACTTTTGCGCCGGACGACTTTTGCGCCGCCACTATTATTACTAATTATAAAAAACTACAGCGGGCCTCACTATAGAAAGGCCGAATTCGGCTATCCGGCCTTTTTCAGATCCGGATATCTGGACCCGACAACCTTAACTATAGTGCACTCTCTTCTGGCAGAAAATCATGCTTGAATAGGGGTAGCAGACCAAATATCCTGATCCGAAAAAGTCAAGTTCTTTGAAGATGACACCTCTAGGGGGTCTGTTTATTAGAAGGGGCTATTGTACTTCCTGAAATATTGTACTTCCTGAAATTCCTTCAGTTCCTGGACGCCATTTTTTAAGACTTACACTATAATTATGTTCGACTGTAGATATTATTTTTTATAATTATTGCGGCGCAAATGTCGCGGCGCATAAGTCGCCCGGCGCAAAAGTCGCGGCGCACAAGTCGCCCGGCGCAAAAGTCGCGGCGCAAATGTTCTCGGCGCAAAAGTCGTGATACCTACGAACCGAAGAATTACCGAGCTCTTTCGAGTGATATATAGTTTGTTATAAAATGAGAAAAAATTTTGAAAAAATAGAAAGGAAAAAAAGAGGGGAGCGAATTCCAAACTATTACCAAGATTTTTTTAAATGACGCACAATAATTTTAAAAAATCTATATAATTTATTTTTTTTAGATTTCCAATTCTGAAGAAGCTTTGGAACTTGCTGAATTAATTGCTTCATTAATTCGAACATTTGCCCCAATTTTACAAATTTCTATTTTATTAAAATTGCAACACAAAGGTTTTTTAATTATTTTAAAGAATTTTTAAAAATTTTTTAAAGTTTGTTTGACTGTTCTGTCACCTTCTCCTTGGATTGGAGCAATTAAATTATTAAATGCGTTGCTAGAAAATAATCATGAGGGTATTCCAGTGCCTATACAGGTTTTTTAAATTTATTTTTTGAGGAGTGTTTTTGGCTGGATAAGGTCACGAATCCCGAAAAGCCTAATTCCGATTCCTGAAAAGCCTAAATATGTCTTTCTACACGAAAAAATTTTCCGCTAACATAAGAAATAATAAGGATTTCTGAATTTTCCCTTCGTTAATTTTTTTTAAGAAATCCTATTTCTATTGTAAACCTCTGGGACAAGTCATTAAAAGATCCAGCTTTCAATCCACTTGGAGAGACGTTAAATCCACCCTCCTCTGACTCTCACTGTCTGAACGAAATCACTATATCTAAAGATATTTTTTTTGATTTTTTTTTCCAGATTGCATCAAATATATTTTTCCGTGAATATAGCACTGAAAGTACTCAATTTAAACAACAAATAATTAAAGGAAGGGGGTTATGTCAAATATATAAACGCCCAAAACGTTTATTTTTGGGTCAATCAAAAGAGGAAGAAGCTGTGGTTAATGAATCTGTTTTTGATTAAATTAAAATTCTTTTAAAGGTTTCTAAAAAAATTTTTTTTTGTTTAACTATAAAAGATTTTTTATTTTTAAAACAATTTTCGGCGTTCGTCAAAAGTTGAAAGAGTTTTGGGTACTTGTGTAGTTTACCCCCCATAAGTCCCGCCCACTTATCCTTTCTTCCTTTTATTAATAAAAAATGATATTTGGGTCAACATTTTCTTTTTTATCAGCTTACATATGGTGATAAGTGCCCGGCTCTCTATTTTAGAACCTATGGTCCAGTGCTGTGGGGAGGAAATACACTACCTTGATTTGTGATTTTTTTATTTTACAAAACATGTAGGATGAGATTAGAGTGCGGAACGGGATCCGGTCCCGTTTCCCTGCTTTTTTGAAGATGCCGGTGGATGGGTAATTCCCGGGCTTCCCGGTCCGGTCTCGGACGGGTTTCTTTTGCTTCGATTTCACGTTTCCGGTTTTTTCAATATTCCGCTCTCTAGACGAGATACTTAAGGAATTAATCCAAGTACAGGCAAAAATATTCAAAAATTATTTTTTTTTAATATTTAAGTAATTCCCTCATTCCAACTTTTCAAATATTTTCCCATTCATCTTATTCAAATTGTTGCCCCTCAACATTTATTTTTACCTTTATATCAATCAAATACATTTTCCTTCTGTTTTTATCATCCTACCGCCCTTCCAGTCACTATATATACTTGTTGTGTTTTCCTCATTTTCAGTGCTTTTCGGAGCCTTCCCTCACTTGACCCTTCTGTTTCTATAAATTTTTATGTGCTCTTCGGAGCCTCCATCAGTTGACCTTAATTTAATGATTAAACAAATAAATATCGAATTTATTCTAATTTGTTTATTTTTTTAATGTTTTTTAACATTTAATATTTTTTTAAATTTTGAATCCACCCCAGGAGGTCAGCTCCCTTTATCCTTAATTTGGAGGTTCAATATCCTATCCCCTTAATCCGGACTAATCCATTTTAATCAACCTAGATTCTTTGATATTTCCCTTAATCTCCACAAATTCTTCCTAATCCGTATGGGAAGATTGTTGATCCTGATCAGCTGGACGCAGTTGCTGATTGCGGTTCCGGAAATTTCTTTACAATTACTTCCAGCCCTAGCACAGATCCTTTCTTACCGCCCACTGGGAGTTGACCTCCATGGGTTAATCCCTAAATTTTGGCTATTCTTAAAATTTTTTTAGTTTTTCTTTATTTTGATTAACAAATGTTTCGTTTTGTGCGGTCTGGTTCAAATATTATTTCTCTTAAGAGAGTTGCTAGGTTATTTTCGCCAGGTTTTTTTCTATTTCTTAAAACAAGTTTTGAAATTTTTTTAGATGGAAGTGGTGGTATTTATCAAACAATTTTACCTGTCCTTTCAAAATTTGAAAATGCTGGACTTGAATATTTTTATGTTTATTCTGATAATAATATCCTCTGTCGTGTTCCAGATCTGCAAATGGTCGGCTGTGCTGTTGACAAAAATGCAAATTCGAATTTGAAGGTTTTTGTTAAAATTCAAAAAAATTTGGCTTGTTGACAAATAAAAGAGTCTGCAAAATATGTCAGCTAGAACTGTTTTGGGGCCTGAGTAGATTCTACCGGGCGATTTTAAATTTGCTCTTTCGATTGGCATATAAATCATAAAAATTAAAAATCGCCCGGTAAGGTTTACTTTAGCCGTTTTGGGATAACTCACAAGTACCCAAATTTGACTTGTGGGCTATGGCACTAATCCATTTTCTAAAAATTTAAACAAAAAAGATCATTAGAACTACTCGAAATTTTAGTGTCTATTGACTTTGAAGAAGGAAATCCTCTTTAAAATTAAAAAAAATTTTTAATTTTAAAATAAATTTTACAATATTTAAGGTATTTAATATGATGAATTATACATCTCTTCTTGGGCAAAATATTTATTCTCAGCAGTTTCATAGTCATCGACAATATTCGTCTTCAGCTAAAGATAATGGAAAGAAGGTTTTTTATATAATTTTTTTATTTTATTATTTTTTGTCTTTAGTTTCGAAGATTTGAATATCTTAGAAATCAACTTTTTACCTTGTCGACTTTAGGAACATTGATGATCCCACTAGGCGCTTTTGTTGGTTGGCAAATAGGAACTGCACTTTTTGAGATTCACTCACTCGCCGAAAAGCAATCGCAGCAACATTCTATCGAGTAATTATAATTTTTCTATTTAAACACGGGTCTGTTGTCGATTTCTATTTTAATCATTTCTTTATTCTCTATTTTCGATTAACGTAATTTTCTGTTTACTACACTAATTCGTCTAACTATAAATTAAAAATGGGTATACTCTATGTCCGAGGGTTGTCCGAGATTTACCAAATCGACGTACACAAAAATAAGTTTATCCGGTGGGGGAATGTACATTTTAATGAAGGAAGACGTAGCTGTGGAACCCCTCCCCCCAATCGGCTTGCTTTAATTATAAAGTTTGCTATCTAAAACTATTTTTCAATTTAGTGCTGAGCCTAAACCTGCATGCTCTGAAACAGTTTCAAATGTTCAAGATTTTGTTCTAGTTCAGCCAGAACGCTGTATTGATAAACTAAACTTTTCAACAGATGAAATGAAAAAATTTTATGACACTGGTATTTTAAGAATTCTTATAGGATTGATTATATAAAAGTAAAATTTTCGAAATAGCGTCAAAAATTGAGCCTGATTAAGATTTAAGCTTCAAAAAATCATTTGCCCATTTGTTAAACAAATGGCTGTATTTTGGCTGGTTCGAAAGCCCTTCGAAATATATACCATTTGTCTCGGCAAGCACCAATCCCAGGGTGCGGAAACGTTTGTGGACCGAAATACAGACTCACGAAAATCGAAAAATCGTAGGGGAGATTAAGTTGATTTTTGACTAAAAAATTTTCTCTTCACTCTTCAGGTCTTGAAGCAATTTCTAAAGGCAAATTAGCTGTTATTACACTTACTACTGGAGAAGGATCTTCTATTCCAAATGGTATTATAAGTCTGGGAACTTCACTTGAAGAGGAAAATGATTCCATTTTGTTTTTACAAGCAGCTCAGATCAGTTATCTTCAACAAAAAGCTAAGGGAAAAATTGTTTGGATGATAATGACTAACAAATCCTCAGAAGAAAAAATACGTAAACACTTGGATATAATTTTGAAAAAGACAAAATTGGATGAGAAGCAGGTTTAAATTTTAAAAATAAATTGGTTGGGGGCCAACAATTTTTTAGTTTTATTGTTTAAAAAAATTTGTTCCATAATGAAAAGTCTGAGTTGCACGCTTTATGGCTACCTCAATTGTTGGCTCCCCTTGACCACAAAAATTTCCTTTTGATGTTTTTTTTGACTTATCCTTTTTTGACTCTGACTCTTAAACATTAGAATTTTTAGGTATTCGTTTTTGTCCAAAATGAAAATCCTACTCACGATTTTGATGGCAAAGTTCTTTTATCTTCACCTTACCAAATTAATACTTTACCAGGTTTTTAATTTCTTTTGAACATTTTATGTGTAAATTTTAGATGGAAGTGGTGGTATTTATCAAGCATTGTTGCCTGCCCTTCCAAAGTTGGAAAAAGCTGGACTTGAATATTTTTATGTTTGTTCCGATAATAATGTCCTCTGTCGCGTTCCAGATTTGCATATGGTCGGCTGTGCAATTGGCAAAACTGCTGATTGTGTTGCGAAGGTTTTTTTTTTTAATTTTTGTTTTTCTCATATGACAAATAATAAGACTGAAATCTTGATCAAAAACAGTTAACTGTTTAACCAAGGGAACTATTCTTACTCGAACCTTTGCATAAGGGTACACCCCGATGTACCGCCGAGCTATAAATTTGTTCAAAATTGTCGAATCCGTGGCGCCCTGGTGTGTTCGATGCGTCTCGACTAGCTGAATCGTGCCATACCAGAGCGCCACGGATTCGACAATTTTGGACAAGTTATAGCTTGGCGGTACATTGGGCTCGCGGTACACTGGCCTGCTCCCTATTTGTAGTTGGGTCGGAAAAATCAGACATCTCCAACATATACCTACTTTGTTGCTATTTTGGGTTTCTTTTGGTCATTTCGAAATTCAATTTTTATGTTATTTTTAAGGTAATGAAGGAAGAAAGAATCCTTCCAAAAGAAGTGGTTGAGAAACGCAATCCGAAGAATCCAATTAAATTGATCTTCCGAGAGGGAAGTATTGGCAATACCTTCTTCACTCTCGACTTTTTAAAAGAGGCTTGTTTACAATATGATTCTTTGCCATTCCATGAAATACAAAAATCTATACCTTTTTGGAATCCGAATACTCGAAAGATTATTCATCCGGTTGGGAAGAACGGAATAAAGAAAGAACGATTTATTTACGATGCTTTATTTCATGCTAAGTTTGTTTTTTTTTCAATTTTAAAATTTTTTCTGGCGATTTTTTCCTGTTCTGATTGTTTGAATCCCAGAAGTTTGAATTTGGATACTATTTTTAGTTAAATTCCTTTCACGTTGGGGAATATAAAATTCAGAAGGGAATCCAAATTCAGGGCTTGTCCAAATTTAGGCTCCAAATGTCTAAATCCAGGCAAGCCAATCCGGACCACCCTCTCCCCCCACCCCCCATTTTTTGAGGATGGGTGATACCCAAGGAGTTGGAATATATATCTGAGGTACCTTAGGGTGTACCCAAAAAAAGATGGTGAGTCCAAATGCACTTATATGTCCAAATAACTCATAATTTTTTTAGTAATTTTATGATGTGGAAAGTATCTAAAACTGAATTTAGTCCATTGAAAAATATAGAAGGCGTTGATTGTCGTTCAAAGTGTGTTTTGGACTTTAATTCTTTTGCTGGAGATGATATTCGAGAAATGGTTAAACAATTTTGTAGGAAGAAGAAATGAAGAAATTTTTGGTTTTTGATGGGTTTTATAAAAATTGTTTCTGAGGAAAGGAGAGAGGGAGGAAAAGGGGGAGACTAAAAAATATTTAAAATTATAATTTTCTAAGATTCGTTTGATTATTTATTTAAATTTTCTGACCAGTATAATAATTCTCTTATGTAGCAGGTGTCACGGATAACATGAAATCCGATCCGAAAAATTTTCAAAGATCTGTCCAGACTTTTTCTCAATCCGTGACATTCTTGTTATATAGTCTGTGACATCATTTGTACAAAATACCCACGTTTACGTCATTTTTGCCCGTGATGTGTGACACGCAGGGTAGAGACCAGAGATTCAGCGGGAGTTCCGGGAAGTTCCGGTATTTTTTGGTTCCTGTTCCGGGATCTGGAACTCAAATTGAATCCGGTTGGTGTCAAAATTTCGTTTCCAATGAAACACTACGAGAGACTTCACTTGTATTACACTATTAAACTTTTGTGGATGAGAAAGTTTCGTATAAGTGATGTCCAATTATAATGTATTTCATACTCCTTTAACGACCTTTAACTTATTTATTTTTACTTATCTAAAAGCTTTTTTTATTTTTTTACCTCTACTGCCATTAAGGATCTATGTATTTTTTAAAGATAATGATAAATTTTGATCTTCATTTTTTAAAATTTTTCTCTAAAAATGTTTGGGAATTTCTAAAAATGTTTTAAGCTTCACTTGAAGTCCGCACAGATCCTACTTTAACCACCTACGAGGAGTTGACCTTGAATCAAGTAACACCGAAAATATATATGCATTTAGTTTGAGGTTAATTGTGAAGGATTGTTTACCAAAATTTAAAAGAATGTTGTGGGGGGACTCCGTTGGATATTTTTCTTTTTTTAAAAAAATATTCATTTGCACGAGTGATTTTAGATAATTTCACCCACATCTCCTTTAGTCGGTGAATTGTCTTTTTGGTGAATGCATCTAGCTATTTTCGGCAAAATTAATGAACACTAAAGATCGACCTATTTTTCATTTGTTTTCCTTTTTGTGTTCTCTCGAGCAAAAAGAAGATATTTCTCTCGAGAAAAGAATATTGATTCAGCCGAGAACGTACAAAACACTAAAAAGAGGAACGAAGCCTTTACGAAGTATGTGTGGTCTTTAAAGTAAAAATGGGAAGGAAAAAATCTGACGGTCGTTCATTTTATGTTTTGAATAATAATGTCGTTATTAGGGTTGCCAAAATGGACCGACTCGGACCGAAAGATCGAGTCATGCCTCGATGTTTGGCCCGAAAAAGTCTTGTACCGGCCCGACTCGATAAAGTTGGGCCCGAAAAAGACTCGTAACGGCCCGACTCGATAAAGTTAGGCCCGAAAGTGACTCGTACCGGCCCGACTCGATAAAAACAGGCCCGAAAAAAATTGTCTCGGAAAAAGTCGGCCCGACTCGAACAAGGCTCGATAATATTTTTACCAGATTTGTGGACAAAAATGTGGACAAAAATCTTGCGTTATCCTTCAAATCTCCGATATCCATTCAAATCTCTTCAATCCTTTTAAATCCCATTAAAATATATCAACTTAATTATCTGATATGCGATCCTGATCCCCTTAATCATCTGATCTCCTTTAATAAAACCAAATCTAGCAATATCTCACACCAATCCTCCGATAATTTAAATCACCTTAATCCCTCAAATCCACTGATATCCATTTCAATTCTCTTCAGCCCTTCCTTTACCCTCCAGATCCATCGATATACCTTTTAATTCACAGATATCCCTCCAAATCCACTAATTATTTTTAAATAAATCTTTTAAAAAAAGACTCGAAAATGTCTCGATGCCCGACTCGATAAAGTCAGGCCCGAAAGTGACTCGTTCCGGCCCGACTCGATAAAGTTAGGCCCGAAAAAGACTCGTATCGGCCCGACTCGATAAAGTAAGGCCCGAAAAAGACTCGTACCGGCCCGACTCGATAAAAACAAGCCCGAAAAAAATGCCTCGACCGTCGGCCCGACTCGAAAACGGCAACCCTAGTCGTTATGTACCAGTCCCCTATTTTTCCTCCCCAAGTATGGGGTGGACCCTTATTTTTTACAGTGTTTATTTATTATCGCGTGTTATTTAACTTTTACCCCTTTTAGACAAAAATTCCAACAACCACGATTTGATCATCGTGAAAACAACGAAAAATTGGAAAAACATTTTGGAAAAGGTGTTTCTAGATGTTTGGGTGTAGCTGCAACAATTATGTCAAAATGAGTTAACGAGAAGGTTCTGGACCTGACACTCAAGACTTCAAAACCGAATGAAGAGGAGAAAAAAGGAAAAGAAGGGTTGTGTAAATTGTAATGAAAAGAAATTATAGTGAGTTATAAACTTTAATTTTGGGATATAAAATGTGGGGTACACCTCGTTTCAGTCTGGGCTCAGTTCAGTGTGGGGCCCTATAACTTTTGAAGGGGCTGATAATTTTTAATGTTCTTGGTACCATTTGATAGAGAATTAAATAAGCTACAATATACCAGAAAAGCAGAATTATTGACTAACCGGTAAAAAAGTTATGATCGAAAAAGTGCCAAAAAATCATGTTTTTTTGTAAAAGTTGGTTTTTATATCATAATTTTTTTTATCAATCGTTCAAAAATTCTGATTTTTGATATGTTGTAAAGCTTTTGATTCTTTATCCAATGATACCAAGAAAATGAAAAGTTGACCATTTCTTGATGAGTTATAGGTTCCAGACTGAACTGAGGTGCTCCGTAGAACGTGAGCTAGTATGGTGTAGTTGGATAATTCCATCTTCCCCGCCTTGCTGGGTCATGGGTTCGAATCCTGCGGCTTGAAAAGTTTTTTTCTTATAATATAAATAAGAGATTGATGCAAAAAATGATTTTTCTGTTTGTGACCCTTCAAAAAAATTTTTTTCATTGTTTTTGGAGAAACATACCTTTGATATCCTAAAAATTATATAATTTTTCAACTTAAAATTCATTTTTTAATTATTTAAAAATTTTTTTAGCCCTTCAAATACAAAGGATGATGATGAATGTTGTAGTTCAGAACAATATCCGTCATTGATGCATAAAAGGGTTTATCTTTATTTGGTAATTTTACTTTTTTATTTTTCATTAGCATGATGAACTTGTATTAATTCATTTAATTCCTGAACAAAACATGATTCAAACTCGACCCAATTGTTCGTTCTTTTGTTAGTACTTTTGTTCAATTTCTTCGTTTTGAATTCAATTTTAAATTTTGAGGGTTTAGCAGACGGGCTAGTTAAGGTATAATTCAGATATCGGTTCGGATATATGAAAAGACACATTCCTGTCCCAGCTTTGGGTCTATTTGAACCTTTAAACAATAAATTTTTCTTTCAAAATAACTCTTCATTTTTTAGTAATTTTATGCTCTGGCATTTTTGGGAAATGTAATTTTGCCGATTGAAAAATTTTGATGGCGTTAATGGTCTATCATCGTGTATTCTTGCCTTTAATTTTTTATTGGAGCTGAGATTCGAGAAATGATGAAGCAATTTTGTATGAAGAAATGAAGAAGTTTTGGTTTTGAATTTTTATGGTTTTTTATTATTTGTTTCTTTTTTGATGAAGGTAGAGAGGAAAAGGGGGTTTTAATTTTTTTTTAAATTTCCTGCCCAGTATACCAAGGACATAGTCAGGGGCTATAAGCCCCCCCCCCCCGCCTGAAACGGGGAAAATGAAACACATTTTATACCACTTTTAATTCTCTTTCCGAAAACATTTAATTTAAAAAATTAAAAAGGTTATTTGGCTTCGAACAACCATTACTCGTTTTTGAGGCCAAGAAAAGTCTTGACTCAAACTATTTAAAATTAAAATTATCAATTTTCGTTCTTCCATAAATTACATATATAAAAATTACTATTAACATTTACATCGATACTGGGTAGAAAAGTATAAAGAACAAAGTCGGTAACATCTTTCTTCATCAAAATATCAGATCTCAAAAATCAACAGAAAATCGGGGTACATACTTTAAAAAATATTCTCGAACCCGTATGGATTGTTTTTTCGAACCCTTATCGAAAGCCCCCCAAACATTACATAATTAGTCACTTTGCTCTTTCCCGAGCATTTCCGTTCTCTTCTCTCTTAAAATATAAACCTTTTTCTGTTTTATAAAAGCCCCTATCTTATAATTATATCAGTTACTTTAAGTTCTTCCAAGTTCTTTTAAGCTTTTCTAAGCTCATAAGTTCTCTTTCAATCTTCTTTGTAAAATTAATATATTTTATAAATAAATATTTATTCTTTGGGAATTGTTCTCGATTGGTATTAAAATTGGAAATTAATTAGAAGTGGTTTCGCCAACAAATACTTATCTTCTGGTATTTGTTGTAGCTTAGAAAGACTTATTTCTTTCAAGACAGTGCTTAGTATATAAAGCTGCGGCTTTAGCCATTCGGGTGTTAGTATTCCTTATTCTTAGTCGTTATTCTATTTAGTTAGTTTTATTCTAGTACTCCACATATTCGACGTTAGCCATATTCATATTGTTCGCTACTATTGTATATATTCTTGTAGATAAAGCACAGTTGTTAGTTACTGTTTTAGCTTATTATTCTTGTTAGTACGTAGACATAGAAGTCATGTACATAACACCCTAATTCCTTTAAATACGTCCATGCTTTGACCACCGCGAGTAAATAAATTTTAATGTATTTGAAAAACGAATTCTATAAATATGTCGGATGGCCATATTTATTCTCACAAGTTCTATAACTGTCGACCTTAGTTTTGGCAAGGCGGTTTTTTACACTATTTTATTTTGTATTTTCTTTCTTTAGGTTATAATATTTGAATAGCTCAGGAAAATATTCTCTCGAAAAAGTGTTGAACCCCTTAATCGCTTTTATGTGTTTGTTAATAGGACGTGCACTCGCTGTAATTCACTTACTTGCAGATTCACTCGCTGCAGAATCCTACCAACCGCTGCAGCATTCTACTAAATTGCACCTTATTTCAGGTAATATCTAGGCATAAGTTAGATGATAAATCTATAAATTAAAATTAATTACCAAGTTATTAAGGTGGTAATATTTCTTGTGATATTCTTTAATCCTTTCTAA